CTCCCCCAGCGGCTTCACATAAATATTGAACAGAAGCGGAGAGAGGACCGACCCCTGTGGGACCCCACAGGTTAGGGGCCTTGGGGTCGACCTCTGTCCCCCTGCCAATACAGACTGCGTACGGTCGGTGAGGAAGGAGGAGAACCACCGCATCACAGTGCCTCCCACTCCCAACCCACCCAACCGCCGCAGCATGATAGCACTGCCTAGGTTTTAAATTATCTACATTATTGTATATTCTAATTTAATTGATACACCTTTATTTCTATTTGTATAGTTTTATCAGATATAAATACATATATCATATCATATCATATCATTAATATGTATTAGTGTTAATATATATTACTATGTATTGTTAATATATTAATATATATTGTTATATAATTATTCTTATCAATATAGTACTGTTCTTTTGAGAACTGTATTGTTACCACTTGGCTTATGAGTACAATTCAGGGTGCTAGCTTTTACTTAAACCTTTCTTGGTTTAAGACCTGTATATCTGTACACCACTTTGTCCTACTAACATCTTCCCACTTGTGGGAAGTGGCCAATACTGGACGAAAGTCATTTAGTTTTAATTCCGTTTATTTTAATACTTTTTACACATATTATATTTTTATGACTTATTCTATATCTATTTTACTTGCTCAGCATTGAATGTTATGTCTATAATTTGAAGGTGTTTCTGATAAGTATAAAAAAGATCTTCCCACTTGATAAAATGGTGTAGGATAGGCTCTTTGTGTCTTGTCACTTGGCATTAACATTTGCAGGTGTTGCCCATCTGCTCTGAACAAATACACAACTAGAATTGCTTTGTACTGCTGTTTCCACTGTGTTGAAGAGGACAATCTCTTATATTATTTTATGCTGCCCAGAGAATCTTCAACATAAAAATATAATAATTCCTATTCTCTGATAGTATTATGTTGTCTTTAACATAATTCTGGTACATTATATTTTTTATTTGTTTCATAGTAAATTGAACTATAAGGATCTAATTTTGCTCCATTTTTTCAGGACTTATAATTTCTCTTCAGCTTCTCCGTGGAGAAATGGAACAAATTCGAAGAGAATATCCTATTATCTTTAACAGAGGGGTGTCTATTACAAGAAAAGTAGGATTCCCAGATGTGATCATGCCTGGTAAGTGAATGAAAGTTCCATTTATAGCACTTATTGAATGCTGATCTTTATCAATGTAAATAGTGTTATAAAATAAATATTAAATAAAAGATGTAGCTGAGTGATTTAATTGTAAATAGTATATTTTACTAAAAATAACTTGACAGAACTAAAGCTTATACAGGAATGTCCTTTTTAGTTTTTCCCCAATGAAACCCCTCCTTATAACTTATGTAGAATTATAACTCCAATTGTAACTTGATAATGCTTGCTGTTCTACTTACGTTTGAAGTCTGGGGATGAATTTTTAATGCAGCAGGTTTTTTTTCTAGATGTTACTTTAGATGATTTGAGCATGTTTTAGAAGTCAGTCTTAAATTAGGAATGAATGCATATATACAATGTATGGCTCTTTTTGCTAGCTCTCCACATGCCTGATTTGGTTTTAAGTCCCAGGTATGCATTAGTGTTAAGAAAGCTTGTATTAGTAAGGATTATGTTACTCATGTAACCCCTTTTGTGAGCCTTAGAGAATTTCAACATGAAGTAACAGTTCTTAATGCTGTATGGAATACTGCTTTCAGAACGAAAATGGCTTCAAAATAATTTTGATCATGTATCAGCTTTTCAGCAAACAAACATTTCCATTATTTTGATTCCTTATTGAAACATTTCATCTTCTTTTAGCATTTCAAGAAAACAACTCCAGTATCAATAAAAATATTACAATTAGCAATTATAAAAGGTTAAAAAAAGGTACTTGTTACATATTTCCAAATGCATTTTTTGTTCTCTGTCAGTATAGAATTTTAGTACAAGGAAGATTTTTAATTAATATAAAGGGCAGTGACAGATAAAATTGAATTGAATTTGTTTATGTTTAGTATTTCATTATATTGTTGCTTTGTACTACATTAATTTTATATTAAAGGACAATATAACATTGTGAGAGATGTTTTATTCCAAAACATTTGAGTGAGAAATTTTATTAACTTTGTTTTAAGAATGAAACTGCTGGTTTCAATATCAAGCAATATTTTGCACTTTCGTATTCTGACATTGGTACATTTCCAAAATGCAGGAGATGGCCCATTCTGTTTTTTGAAAAAGAAGTTTTCTGCTTTAATAGGATACTTCATGAAATTTTGCATTTCCATTGTTTCAAAATGAATCATTTTCCAATTTCTAGAACAGTAAAACAATGATATAACTGATGGACTCTACTAATTATATGTATTTGATACACTATGAAATATTGGCAACTGTATTGAATGAAAACATTTAGTTTAGTTAAACGTTGAAACCGAGACCTATTTACGTTTTTGTAAATTACCTAATGACAAATAGTAATATAGGAAACAATTTGTTATATTTTATTTAAAATTCCATGGAAGACCATTCATTGTTTATTGTGAAATTATAATATACATAAATTTTCTCTAAAGAAAGGAGATTCTTCCAGTTTTAGCCAGGCAGTTCTACATTTATATTTTACTCATTTTCTAGAATACAGTTCTAATTAAGTGATATTTTTGACATGGAACATTAGTTGTCATATATTCTCTTAAAACAGGTTTCAAAATAGTAAATTAATCTACATTAATACATTATTAAATATTTTATGATATTTTGAAAACTACTTGAGTTTGATGGAAATGCTTTGGCACTATGTACAGACACTTTATTTTCTGTTAATGTGTTATATAATTTGCAGATAATTCCCTTGCGATTTGCAGGTATTTTCATTTTTCAGTTACGACGTGTAATTGGATGTTTCAAATTTAAATGTATAGAAACACATTTGATTCTGTTAGTGCCATGCTTTCTTTAGAAGTATTTTCAATAATGGAGGAAGACAAAGTCACAGCCTATTAAGCATCACTTAATAAAGCAGATGGCTTGAGTACCATTAATATAGCATAAGGACAAGAAAGAAGATAAAGTCACAGTCTCTTAGCATCCTGTAATAAAGCAAGGACTCACTTAGCCTACTAGCCCACAGCCTTCTCCACAAAAGAAAGATTGGAAACTGGACTGTAATTGTCCAGAATAGGATGGGCCAGTGATGACCTCTTAAGAAGTGGATGTACCACTTCAAGAGGGAGGGATCTTATCCTCCTTTAGAAGACCATACCATTGCATGAACCAATGATTTGGTCACTTCCAAGGCCACCTGGACCCCAGAGGGGGCCAATCTCTAACAAACAGATGGTCAAGATGACAGTTTGGAAGACCTTGTCCACCTCATCAGGAATCATGCAAACAAATTCAGTCCACATAATCTCACAATTCACTTCTTCCTGCCCAGTTAAAGTCTAAATCTGGATGAATCTGAGTGACTTTATCTGCCAGGTAGCATGAATATTCCTCACTACAGCCTGCAGGTAGTCCAGCCACCTGCCAGCAGGAAATAAGTCACTCTAAACAGATCCACTAGGTGGCTTTCAGCCAATGCAACCATGGCACAGAAATAACTATTTCACTATCCTTATTGCCTAAATAATGGATTTACTCATGTTCAGCCAGATTCAATCTTTGATTCTGGTGCTTCATCTCCCAGAAGCTAAGCTACTTTCCTGAATTGGCACATAGATAACATTCATATAAAAGCAATCTAGTGTAAGGCTTTAGGCATCTAACTGTTCCAGGCTGGGAGCTACTGTGTTTGTAGAGCGGTTGCAGTTTTTAAAAAAGTGTTATGAGTGTTTTTTTAATCTTGTAGTTTGTTACATTTTTAATGTTTTAAGCAGTGCTTTTTTTCTAAAACAAAAAAAGGTGCCGGAACTCACACATGTCATACAACCTGCCTTGCCTATTCTACAAGGTTCCATCCAAAAAAGGTGCCAGAACTCCGTTCTGGGTGGTACTATGAGAAAAAAAAGCCCTGGTTTTAAGTGTATATTTTGCTCTTGTAATCTGCTCAGAGTCTTTTGGAATGGGTGATCATAATAAATATAAATAATAATAATTTCTTTATTATGCAATCCTTTCCTCATATTTGAAACAATACAATTAATGGTAGCTTGTCTACTTTCTGCCCTCCTGTTTTAAATTTTCAGATTATCTGTTTTGCCTGGATTGTGTATGCAATCCCACAGTACCTCAGATAATCATGTTCTGTGTGATGTGCTTTGCTATGTCTAAAATGACTATCCACAAAACAATTGNGACCTAATTGTTTAGAGATGGATTTACAAGTGGCATTTGTGGTTGTTAAGTGTGGACTTCATGTATTCCACTTTTATAAGATTAGTATATCTCTGAAAAAGAGGAGAGGAAAGAAAAGGCTGATTTTTCTAGTCACAGACCTCAATGCCGGGAGATAGCACTATAGATTTAATTTTTTCTCATTTTTTTCTCTAATTTAACAGAAAATGTGGGCACCCTGTTTCTTTTACATACCATGGCTGCAGAGAGAATGCCATATAAACCACTCCCTAAAAGTTAGATGGTTGCAAAAAGTGCTACCACACACAAAGCAGGCGATGGAGCGAGGTGTAAAGGAGTTGTCACATTCTGGGAAAGAAAAAATAAAAATTTAAACCATGGCAGATGAAGAGGAGGTGGATATTTCAGCTTTATCCCTTAAGTGAGATCTTAGTCTGCCATTAGGTCTGGCAGAAGAGGCATACTTTGGGTTTCATTTACAAAAGAATACCATCTGATGGGACTCAAAAAGAGAGCCTTTTCTGTCACAGCAACCGCCCTCTAGAATGCTGTTCCCACAGAGATTTGATTGACAAGAGGGTTGAGAACTCTAATCTTTTATCCTATGGACTCAGACATGCTGCAATAACATAACATACCGTGTTTTCCCGAAAGTAAGACCTATCCCCAAAATACATTTCCTTCTGCCACAGAAGAAGTGGGCCAGCTGGGTGGGGCTGCCGCTGCGGCAAAGTGAGTGGAAAAGACACCCACCCCCCCGGAAATAAGACCTGGTGCCTCTTTGGGAGGCAAATAAAAAATAAGGTCTTATTTTCGGGGAAACATGGGTATATAACCCAACCCCCCCCCACACACACACACTATATGTCTGTGTGTGTGTATAAGTTCCTTGTACAGTAGTATTAATTTTTTATTTCAAATGTCATCATCTAATTGAATGCGTAATTATTCCTTTATTTATTCATAATTTCAACTTTTATTATGATCCATGAATATTAAGCTCTGATACCATCCTTTTACATTCTCAAATAGGAATATAAGATATGTAAAGAGCACCATTTTCTTAACTAGTATGATTATATAGACATAGTAGAAACGCAACATCAGGCATTGAGATATATCAAGAAGCTGCTAATGGATTTCAAATATACAATAATGAAATTTTCAGTGAAAGCAAATTTTTTCTTATTAAGGTGCATCATCTTAGATATTCACTTAATCTTATATAAGATTCTATTCTGTAATGCTTCTCATTTAGTTGTAAATAGTTTAATTTCTTCCCTGTGTAATTATGTGCATATTTAATTTCATTGACAATGGCAAATAACATTGACTCTACTTTTCAGGTGCAACAATGAGAATGAATGGTATCAGATCCATGAAAATATAATTCGCAAGTCGAGCACCAAATATACAGCACCCAGTTCAAATTATGGTAATATTTTATTTTAGCTCTTTTAAAGATACATATTTTCTTTGGCAATGAAAACATTATACTTGCCACATAGTTCATATTTTAGAGCCTGTGGTCATGAACAGTCCTCAAGGAATTATCTTTATTGTGTATAAAAATGTAAGTACAGATGCTGGGGATTTTGCAGAACAAAAAAGCCTTTTTTTAAAAAAAAAATATCCAGTAACCTCTTCAGCATTGCTAATTGTTAGTAGACGTGAAATATTCATTCCTCTTACCAGGGATTTATATTTCTGGCTTCACGTCGATGTCACATGTTCAATGAGGAATGTATTGTACCTGCTTATAGGTTGCTTCCTCCTCTCCCAAACATATTTGCATATTTATCTGGCAAGGAGGGGAATACAGAGAGTATAGCATGCAAGAAAGGATGACGAGA